GCCGTCCCCAGATTCCTTCCAAACTGCTCATACATTAGCTACCATCGTACGTCGAGGATACTTAGTACATGTTCTCAGTCCATAAAGATTAACTACTTCGTCACTTGATTTGCCATCCTTACTTAGTAGTGTTCATAACCTCAGAATAGCTAAATTGATGATCTCGACATACACGAACAATGACATTAGAGACCCCTATGAACAAATACTAGTAGCCTACAAATATTTACGTTTCACAGGTCCAAATTAGTTAAGAGACGGATATCTCGTTTGCGCATCACAAGTAAGGCAAAGTTTGCAAAAGCCGACTTGGTTTTCTGATTCGTATGATTTTAATCTAGTTAATTTCCCTTCTATCTATTAATCACCGACCGTATGATGTGAACATTAACAACTTAGAACAGCAAATACTTGCACTGTGTCTCTTAACTGACTGAGGCTAATTCAACTGAAGTAGTATCCAACTATGATGAAATAAATATTTTGTAAGCTTAACATAGCTCAACATCATCATACTAATTAATAGGACACATAAGCATATGTGAAAACTCACTTGACTTTTAAATCCAATTGAGCACTTAAATCACCACAACTTAATTGATGAATTAAAGACAATAAAATGTTTTGACCAATTGTATGATCACCAGAACTGAAAAGTTTATTCACATCAATATCATTACAGATATCGAGAAGAAGTGGTTGGTCAGTAGAAACTAAAGCCTAAAAAACAAACAAAATGAAATAATATATCATCGAGTAAAACAACTGCCATAGACTCAACAATTTACCAATTAATCATCATGTATTCAATAAGAACTGTCTTCACGAACAATTCCCGAAGTGTGACTATCTGTGATCAATAAAGTTCAAATATTCTAGAAGCCAACTATTGTCAAGGATATCGTCGTGCTGTTACAAACTGACTCAAAGCTGAAAATATGAACTATTACATTACAATTGAGGAGTCACGTTTGTCATGTGACATGGAAATCTCGAGCTTGATGCCATTTGACATTATGGTGGATGAGCGTTGATAAAAAGTTCCAAACTGATAAAAATTTTTAAAAAAAACATCTAGTGTTCTATGTTCTCAAAAGTATTCCATGAAAATAAACATCTAGTTGACTAAACTCTATAGGACTTACTGACTTGAAACGAGTACGTCGATATTAAGAATGAATGACTGTATTAATATAAATATCAGTTCATTTCTTGATGTTTAGATGAACTAGCTAATATTTTGCTTTGATCATCTAAATAAACTGAAAAATATACTCACCTAATAGATGTAAAAGAGTTTATAACAGAAGGATATACCGTCTATTGGGATGTTTAGCAATGGTTACGCATAGAGACATGTTTATAAAAGGCTAACGTTCACAGTCAACGAGAAATGTGTGCGATATCATTGGATAGAAATCTCTGAATATAGGTAATGAGATGTGTCAGTAGGTTGACATATCAAGCATGATAGTCAAAATTTACGAAAGACATGACACCGTTAAAGTAGTACTGTGGTGTGGGTTACTTATATCCACACAAGTAGTATATGACAGTGGTCAGGCGTAGAATGTATCTCAGTAAAAGATCGATGAGGAAAGAACGGGAATGAAACGCAATTGGTATGAAAACGCATGAACAACGAAATCTGAGACAATGGATTGATGTTTGCAACAGGAACAGTCAAGTTAGATATGATGGATGTGTCGTTCTCAGATTTTATTGAGATGCTCTGTAATTTGGTGCCAAATACATCCGATTGTCCCCACTGGTGTTCTTGTTCAATACAGTACAAATGTTATTCAGTTTTTATTTTGCTCTAGACCTATTGAATTTAGTGTCATTCATACATTCTACTAACACGATTTTATTATTGTTATATCCGGAAGAAGAATAAGTGAATGGTAACTATTGAGTAACCATATTATATGTACATTCATATCCCTTTTATTATAAGCTTTTATTTGACCTAGTGGCTACAATGATTAGATTTACTATTCTTAAGTTATTCTCAATTTATTAGTTACAGTCTTTCACAACCATAGCTACCTTCGGGTTGACCTTGTACAAATGTTATTTTCTATTTCATAGTATGATGTGGTCTGTTTGGCTTGTATATAAACCAATTATGTGTGAAATATATGATTCATATAAAGGAGGCTAATAATGGCGTTCCTGACTGAACCGGCTGGGTTAAGCGAAAAGTCAATATTTCGGAGGACTAACTCCGAGTGACTCTAGGTCAGTCTGTCAGTCAGCTACAACGTACGACCAGGCACATATATGCATCGGTCCAAGTTGCCATACCTCATTAACACAACAAGATGAACACCGGATTCATAAAAGTAGTTAATTCAATGGTGGTAATATATACAAGAAAGATTTCAATAAGGATATAGTACAGGAAGAAGGAATTAGTTGGTAGAAAGAAAGATATGAAGCGATTTTAATCTCTTAGTTTAAGGGAAGATAGAGAGTGTATACACCTACGCCATTGTGATCGATACTGAGCCATGTCATCAACAATCTCCAACCATTGGTTACGATAGTCACGCGGACTCCAACCAAGTAGTCTGCATCTACCAACATGGCTCAGACTAAATGTTAGTGACTTTGTGGACTGATGCCACGTTTTGGTTTGGCCGCCCTTTTAATAAAACTAAAATTTAAATCTATTCTGTTTGTACTTACACCAATCTCAAACGTAGTAGTGTTGATTAACTTTCAATATTCAGAAAAATGCTAATTATATTGTTGTTTTTTGTCTTTTAATGATCATCTCTGTTTGTCTGATTAAACATTTTTTTATTTATAGAATTTACATGTATCAATAAGTTCATGTATCATCAGTCAATTTATTTGAAATCTAATGGGCATATATCTAATATAGTTCTGTTAACCTCTTCAACTTTACATATGACATTATCTAAATTAGTAGAGATCATTTGATCAACCAGAGAGTTTAACATGTTGACTTGTCACATATATCGACAAGATATATCATCGATCTTGTAAGAAACTGATTTGAACATTTGTCATCTTACACAATGTGGTAGGTTACCCCTCGAGTTATGGAGATTTTCAACTATTAACGAGAAACACAATAGGATGTTGTGGAAATTTTTAAAATCGAAGATTTACATCACAAAGTGACTTTAGTTAAATAAATAAAACACTGAAAATCAGAGAGGAATGAATATAAACAAAACCACTGAATGAGATCCAAGTAGTTTGGATAAAAAGCATTTGCTGAGAAATATGAAGGTCCTGGGTTCAGCAGTCACTAGTGGAGTCGTGGATGTGTAATTACTAAGCAATACTTTCATGTACGCAAAAAATAGTTGTTCAGTGACTTTTGGTTTTCAATAATTACCTCATAAATATATACATGTATTAGAGATCAATCTATCCCATTTTGAATACTGAAATAATATTTATAAACGCTATTTTCTCGGTCATAAAGGCAACACACAACTGCTTCTTACACTAATAATTAACTAAAACTACAAACATGTTATTTCTTTACATGGCAACAAAATCCGACCTAAAGCCTCCCTGTGTCGCTGCTGGGTAGTGGAGACAACTCTGCTAGCCAACCTAGGCGGTAGCAAAGACCGGATCGATCACCCACTACTCTGTTGTATCAGATCAATCCTGGGTTTTAAACTCGGGGCTCATACTTTCGCTTGCTATCACTCTATATAAAACGAAAGTACTTAAATAGGGAATTTCAAAATCGATTACAGACATACACAACACGAAGAATAGTAACATTGTGGCGTAATGGATAAATACATATGATTTACATAAAATGCGCAGTTAGAATTAGTTATTGCTTTTCGTCTACTAATCAAACACATGGTCTAAATATTATGGATTATTATTATTATTTTCATCATCCTAATTGGAATATAGAGGAGTAAATGAGCCTCCAAACGCCCTGGTACGGCCGAGAGTGGGGAGGGTCGGCTCTCCCTCTGCAAATGCTCGCACATGGTCACGCGTATATAGCCTCTGCCAGGGAAGTTCTACTCACAGCCTTCTCTCACCAGGGGTATTGTTTACGAAATTGAGAGGACGAAAAGCGAACGTCCGGCGCTTTAACCGGGTAAATGGATATGGAGAATCCACCTTGGGGAGTTGGAAAACCCTGATTACAAACCAATGGTGCACATGGGTTCCAGTATCCTGAGGGAACGAATGGCGTATGAACCATTCGTTGGTCACTCGCAACCATGGGACTGCATCTTCTTACGATGCTCCACTGCCTTGTGGATTAGACCTTCAGGTCGGAAGCTCCGAGTGCGGTTCCCTAAGAAAACCATCTGCTTCGGTTTGGGCACCCGGGCAGTATCACAGCCCTCACACATATCGAATGAGATTTGTGTGGCGCATATGTATTTGGTGCCTCCTTGTATCTATGTGTTAAAATAATAAATAATGAGCAATACTGAACTCTCATAAATATTTTCTATATTTCTCTATTTGAAAGCATTTGTTCGAACAAGATAAACATTGTTATCTATTTTACTGTTTAAGATTTATTATTAATTGATCAATTATTTCTTTAATACTCCGTTTTTGAAATAAATTTTGCATGCATTGCCATTTCCTTCTGTGTGTGTGTGTGTGTTGATGTGTGGTCAGACAATTCAAGTAGTATATTATTATTGTATGCATCTTCAGTAATGAATAAATCAAGTACAATAGACAAGATATCTGTATTCCAATTTAATCTTTTGACTAGACACTAAGTTGGAAATAGCTTCACGATCAATAGAGAGGTCAATTAGTCGTAATAACTGTTTATTGATCATTGTATCCTTTATCTTACAGGGGATATGACCGGAATAATTAATAAATGGATATGTTAAATATTAACTCTTATCATAAGTAAATCTGAAGTTATATAGAGGACAAAGCAAAGTAAGGAAATTCTCCTTTTTTTAAAAAAAAATTATATAAATATATTCACATCAAGTGAATATAACTTCAATCCATTGCAAAAGCAGGTGGCTATCAGGATTCAGTAGCTAAGTGCATAACGTAATGGCGTTCAAAGCGAACGGTACTGGGTTCGAGTTCTAGAGTGAACATCAATTCTGAGATGCAGGTACATCCAGCTGACGAGTCCCAAAAAGGACAAAACGTGCGTCCTGGATTCCCCTACGAGCCACTATCTATCTTTGCTTATATAAATATATTGTTCATGATTACATTTATTCATATTCGTAATTTTTAATTTTAATATCTGAATGTTTCTTCTCATTATCTTAATCAACACTATAGTAACTTACGTACTTATGACATTTATTTATAACCAATATTATTCAATGTTTATACTTAATTGAAACCTTAATAATCTGATAAACGACTATAGAGGTTTATCATTAGTCAATCAGAAAGCAAGAATTTAGTTATGAATTAATTTGACTTTCTCCTCTGGTTTTGAACGCTTCTTGCATGATACATTGTTTATCGGTGATAAATACACTGTTGTACATATATACTTCTTATTTTTGAATTATACCCTGTCATGATAACAGAACTCTGATATATTTGTTGTCTATGTTTACAGATCATAGAGATAACCTCATTACATGCTTTATCTGGATTATAGTTGTAATGACTAACTATTTATAATTGTGTAATACAAGACCAAAAAAACAAACAAACAAACTTGAACACACCTACTCCTGACAAATTAAATAACGTCAAGTATATTTTTCTTCGTGTATAGTTTATATTTCGTATATTAACAAATGAAGTTTTTTGTTGTTGTTGTTGTAATAACTTTGTCATTATGTTGGCTAACCCCAAGTTCAATAGGCCTTCGTTATGATACACACATATCACATTACTTGTATAAAGTAATACTTAGTATGGGGGTTGTGGAAATTGGTGAATTTCTTTGAAATCATAAACTGATTCAGGTTCTTTATAGTAAGTGTAACTTGGATCGATTCAAGATTTCAATAAAATAGTATGTTAAATTTCAATCAAAATTTTATTATTAAAACATTCATTAAGATGTAAGTAAAACCAATTTTTATTTTATTTATTTTAACATAGATATTGGTAAAATGAGGTACCAAATATATATGCGCCACACAAATCTCATTCGATATGTGTGAGGGCTGTGATACTGCCCGGGTGGCCGAACCGAAGCAGATGGTTTTCCTAGGGGACCGCACTCGGAGCTTCCGACCTGAAGGTCTAATCCACAAGCATCTTAAGGAGATGCAGTCCCATGGAAGCCGGTGACCAACAATTGGTTCACACGCCATTTGTTCCTTCAGGATACTGCAGCCCATGTGCACCATTGGTTTGGAATTCGGTCAAAGCGCCAGACATTCGCTTTTCGTCCTCTCATTTTCGTAAACAATACCCCTGGTGAGAGAAGGCTGTGAGTAGAACTTCCTTGACAGAGGCTATATAGGCGTGGCCATGTGAGAGCATTTCGAGAGGGAGAGCGGACTTTGACCACACTCCGCCGTACCAGGGCATTTGATGATAACCATTAAGATAACTAACATTAATATGTCAACTAAGTAGTTCATATCAATTTAAATAAGAATACACTTTAGTGGGATGATCACCACATTTGCATAAACTCCCTGAGAATACCAGTAAAATATATGTTACAATGTCCAATCCTTTAAAATAAATCTCGAGAAATTTAATCGTCTATTTTCTCGAAGGTTATATATATATATATATATATATATATATATATATATATATATAATCTCAACCATTGAAATTACTATAATATCCTCAAAAACTCCTTCTGATATTAATCACCATATGCTCACTAGTGACTGGCTTCACGAGGTATATCCTGGAGTTCTAGTGAGAAGTAGTGACCAGTGGAGTTCAACCAGGTCTGTTGTGAGATATCAACTCACTGAAGACAATGGTGTACGGTGGTGCAAATTCGTGGATTAGTTGAATTTAGACTTTAACACTGTTGGATGCCGGCCAGCTGAGTGGTCTAGTGGTTAAGTGCTCGCGCGTGAAACCAGTAGGTCCTGAGTTCGAATCTCGCAAGGGGCGAGGTCGTGGATGAGCACTGCTGAGGAGTCCCATACTAGGGCGAAACGGCCGTCCAGTGCTTTCAGGTTTTCCCTGGTGGTCTAGCTTCAACTGACCCATGATCTTAACCATTGAAATTACTATAATATCCACAAAACCCATGTGATATATATATATATATATATATATATTTAAGACAGTTGAAGGCAACTGACAAGAAACTTTATCTGACCTAACTTTCAATGCCAGTTTAGCTTTCATCAGTCAGTCAAACGTATCTGAAATTATAAAGAACCTAAAACTTCACTTCGTCAAATTCTTGTCACGTTATCTTAAAGAAATTTAGACTATGATTAACCATTTATATTGGACTGAAATCTTTCATATGAATTGATTACAAAGTAATCATCAATGTTTATTCAATTCGAATGATCTTAACGTACACAAATGACAGATAAGTATTTCTATTGAATATTTACTCTTTTATAGTGTATATTTTATTATCTTAATATGTGAAATATGTAGCTCTTTGATTAATTCACTGATATCTAAGTGATTGAATTTTCAATATTATTATAATTATTATATTATATTATAATGAAAATAATTAAACATTACCAATTCCAAAGCATCAACTAAACGATCTGAATGAATCAACACTTGAGCTTGTCGAAATAAACGTGTCAATTTATCTTGTTTCATTGATGATGACAACGATGATGACGATGTTGTTGGTGTTGTTGTTGTTAATGTTGATAGTGGTGGTTGTGGAAGTAGATTTGATGAATATGGACTCTCATTAGTTGTTTGTATTTTATTCTTTACACTAGGATTATTATTATTATTATTGTTACTATTGCTACCACTAACAAGAGGAGTATTGACAATACCTGACTTATTTAAATGACGATTATATGATTTTTTATTCACAGCTGTTTTATCCAACATTGTTGAATTGGATTGTTTATGCTTTACATTGTCGAATGCTACATCTGAATAATGATCATTACGATCAATAGTATTAGTGGTATATGAATCTGATGATTGATTTAGTTTAAGAGAAGAAGGATTGCTACGTTTGCTTTCAACTTCTTTCAATGTTTCAGTAAGAGTTGACTAAATAGGAAAAGAGAAAGGAAAACACAACAATACTACAAAGAAAGAACATATAAAATGAAAGGAAACATTAATTCTGTAGTGTATAGTGATTAGCATTTTACAAGGGCTAGTCAAGATACAGAGAATAGTGGGTTAGAGAAAAATCAGATCGATGATGGCAATGATGATCGTATTTACATCTGACAGTAGATGATACACTAAAAGAATACCTACTTATCACTATATATATTCTATAACACTATATTGATCACTATCATCCGTTTTTAACTACATTATTTAACTGGAAAGTATCATTTAATTCCATTAATTGGTGGGACGGGGGTGTCTAGCAAGTATCTGCCATTGCAAATGGACTGTATATCGGTTACATTAATTAGTACAATAGTTATTCACTAATTTCTTTTCAACGATGTACTCGTAGAAATAACTCATTAATTTTATCAGTACACAGTTGTGGAGATTGTTGAGTTTGAATTGAGATCATGAATTGATCAATGGTAGACTACCACTGAAAATCTGGAAGCGCTGGATGGTGTTTTATCCTAATATGGAACTGTTCATCAGTACGCATCCCTGATCCCGTTTACATTTTATCATCATTGACTTGGAGTACAAGCATGATACAGGCCACTTGTTCGATGAGTACACCAACTAAATATAGTTTTGTAATCATCTATAGTGACAATTAACTTATCCATATGGCGATATAAAAAACTAATAATGCAAGAGAGTGATATCACTTTGTTTATCAAACAGAGGATATAATCTAGAATAATCATTTTTGAAATATGTGACGAATATAAGAAATGGTCTTTAAAAGCAAAGGTATGTCAATTGTTTGTATCAGATCGTGGATATCTTTAAATTACTGCTTATGTGTATATTGCAATAATTGAGTTATGAACACTGATGTTAGGAGGTTGAGCACTATAGGTAAAGATGGTAAATCGATCAATATGGTTGTAATCTTCTATCAACTAGAAAGATAGAGACATGAATGAATGAGTGAATTCGCTTACAGTTTCGAAAAACATCTTGACTATCAAATACTTCTATGTTAAGACAGTTTTCTCCCTTATTATAGTAAATTGCAAGTGTTATATATATATGGGTCTTTTCTTTAAAAAACGTAACGCCTGCAAAATCTGTCAAAGTAAACGTGCTACAAAAACGAAGGCAATAGTGAGCAGATAATAAATCCCGACTCAACCATCTACAAAATAGCGTCCCACACATATTGATTCTTTGATATCTGAGATGTTCAATAGCTTTGTGTGCTAAATAAGCAATACACTCGGATGACTATTTGAACATGGTGGTAGCATTGTGGAAATAATGCTAACGTCTGCTAATGCTGTATAACATCATTTAATTTATGATAAGATCTTAAAAGATCAGTTTTAGGATGAATGTAACGCGCTTGGATACATTTTATGCATGTCATTTTAGCGACTCCTATTACTCAGAACTTTGTTTTCAGATATCTGGATTAGTTAAAAATAAAGGTTTATTAGGTCTATCATCATTGCTTACTTTTATCGTGGATGTTATTTGATTCATCAAAGGTGTAAAATTTGTAGCATCGAAAGATGGAGTTTGAATACGAGATGAAATTTGATTTAAATCTATAAAAATAGGAAAAAAAAATTGTTTGTCAATAATTAGAGGATCACAAGTAAAAATAAAGATTTTGTAAAGGAAAAAAAGCAAAGAACTGATATCAGTGTAAACTAGACACACTACATTCGTCAAATTATACAGGAGTTCAAATGTTGTACAACAGGTTAAATACATGAGTAAAGGAGTAATTTATAAGAAATAATCAGAATGTTTACCTAGTCAGAAGTTGTCAGCTATATGAACAGTGCGCCTGAGTGAACAGTAGCTACGTACACATAATGATGAGCACTAAGTATCGTTATTTGGCAAATGCCCTGGTACGGCCGAGAATGGGGAGGGTCAGCTCTCACACTCCAAATGCTCTCAAATGGCCGCGAGTGTATAGCCCCCGTCAGGCAAGTCCTACTCATTACGTTCTCTCACCAGGGGTGTTGTTTACGAGTTGGTTGACACGGAAAGTTCACATAGGAGAGTTGGGAAACTCCGATTCCAAACCAGTGATGCACATGGGCTCCCGTATCCTGATGAAACGAATGGCGTATGAACCAATCGTTAGTCACGGGTTACCATATGACTGCATCTTCTTACGATGCCCCACTGCTTTGTGGACCAGACGTCTAGGTCGAAGGCTCCGCGTGCACCCTCCCCCAAGAAAACCACCTGCTTCGGTCTGGGAACCTGGGCAGTATCCCAACCCTCACACAAATCGAATGATTTATGCGGTGCATATCTATCTGGTGCCTCCTTGTACCAATGTTTATGTGTTCAAATAAATAAATATTTGGCAAATGCCACACCTAAAATAGTTTACTTCGTTATTCCGTTAAAGTTAGAATTAATAACTAAATGAGATAATCAACGCTGACATAAAATGTAGGGTATCAATCAAAGATGGTTAAGCTGTTGTTCAGAAGACTATGAATCTTCATCGACAGATGTAGCGCAGAAATATGTTACAAATGGGTCACCAGAAGGATGAAATTATTAAAATGAACACATAAATCAAACACACTATCCGGAGTCGTAAAAAATGGATAAAACTCATTGTATTATCACAAGTTGAAATCATGAGTCAGTTGAAGCTAGACCACCAGGGAAAACCTGGGAGAACTGGATGGCCGTTTCATCCTGGCATGGGACCCCTCAGCAATGCGCACCCACGATCCCGCAACCCGCGGGATTCGAACCCAGTACCTACTGGTTTCGCGCGCGAGCACTTAACCATTAGACCACTGAACCGGCATCCAACAGTGTTAATGTCTAACTTCAACCAATCCACGAAGTTGCGCCACCGTACACCATTGTCTTCAATGAGTTGATATCTCACAACAGACCTGGTTGAACTTCACTGGTAACGACTTCTCACTAGAACTCCAGGAGTGTCTCATTGTATTATGCTTCGCAACATGACTGGGAATCGGTTGAATTGTCACAGATCTATGTAGCTTTCATCTCCAATTAAATTATGAGTTCAAATATTCATCCATATACACATGTTTCTCAACACTTCCTTGAGAAGCATATTCCTACATCTTGAGTATTCTATTTTAATTATCTATTTCTCCCATTAATCTCATCTTACTGTGTCGATGTGATAGTTTGAGCTGGAACATATTTATACCGGACTTTACCTTAATCATTATGACTAACTCATAAAAACATGCTAAACTGTTCTTGTTCACCTGTTGAATGAACGAAGATGTATACGGTTAATGAAATTCCTTACATAATAAAAAAAACTGTTTACAAATTTTCTAAGTAAAACATACATTGTTGTGTACCAAGTTGAAAAACATTATTAAGATCTGTGAATAATTTCTTAGTGGATTTTTCTAAGGCTGGAACATAAATTTTATTTAATGAATCACGATAAGCATTAGACAGTTCCGTGGATAATATTCCAGATGCAGATCGTACAATTTGTGTAGTGAAATTCTGAAAAAAATTTTATAAACATAGAAACAAACAAATTGTTACAAAGATACATAATTCCAAATATAAAGATAATATATATGGATATAAAAATGGATAAAAAGTTGTTAGGTAATCAGTTTTCAATTAGTTAGTTTGTATGTTCAGAATCCTATGTTGTTTAGTTCGGGTGAGATTATCCACAAGATTTTCACTGTTTAATAAATATACTGTATTAAGCAACTTCAGTCCATTCTCCATCTATGAATGTTGCATATTGGGATGTACGAGGGAATTGCTTGATGTATGGTATTACGACATATTTAATGAGATAAAAGACCACATCAATTTTTATTATTGATCGAATACCATTATGGAATCAATGTGTTTAACACCAGTAAGCTTCCACATAACCATAGATGCTATCTTGATATGGTAATGAGTTATTGGAGATATGGCCAGGACACTTATCTCTTTTAGAGCACTATCATATCAAGGAGGTTGGTCAAAGAGTTGTACGACGAAAAGCAGCAAATTAAATGTTAAGAGCGAAGTAGTAGTGAGTGGTAAGTTTCTTTTTTCAAAGAACACACATCTGCAGCGATGATTTTTTCTTCTCACAGGGAAGTGGGAGTTTAGAAAAAGCGAGGCTTGAAAATGGAAAATCTCATCTTGGCCATGAATGTATGTCCTCGATGGTAAGGTCATAAGAGCACGGAGCTAGCATACTAAAAGCTATTCACAAAAAAGGTTGTGTGTGACCGAGTTCAAACAGCTGTCCCTTGAGCATTGGAGGTCAGAGTCCCAGAATTTTGAGACTAAGCCCAATTCATTTTCAAATACCTCACAAGAAATACTTTCACGGTCTGGTAAAGCAAGAAGTAAGAATTATCATAATACCTCTATTCATACTCGAAGAAGAGATCAAATTCGACTAGAAGGATCTAAGATTATTAGCACAATGAAATTTGATGTAAATGTGTGAACTATCGGTAATCATTACCAATCATAATATAATGACATTGTACATACATATAAATTGAATATTATAATTACCAATACATATATATCATGTTACAAAGAATTAGTTAATAAGTCTGAATGATTAATTAGTTAAAATCCCACCTTTTCACGTAGAGTACGTTGAACATTATCTGTTAACGTTGTTGGCAATGCAGATAAATGATCTTTTAACACATTAAATAGAGATTGTTGTAATGGTTCAACAATTCGAGATAAATCTAATTAACCAAAAAAAGGCAACAGAATATTAACAATGAAAAGACAGCTGTAAGATAAGGAAAAATAACAGACACAACAATGGGCTGTTTTCTTTAGTAGCAACTACAGATAGGCAGTGTAGTCATATAATATATATATATAGGGGTTAGGTGAAGTGAGGTATTTTTAGGACCATCCATCTCTAGCCCCTCCCTTCAGCTATGAAAAGGCAGGATCAATGAAGATCCTTGCTGTTTGGGGAAAACACTTTGATGCCACTATACTCCTTGGTACAGTGAGCACTTTGACTACGATTTCAGATTATGAGTTTGAAATTTTTAGTCCAACTATCCTCTAACCAATTTACCAGGTGTGGTAAGACTTAAAGAAACAAGTGTTCCAGTCAAAATAGATCGAATGAGTTATCATAACACACAAATCCAACCATTATTTTTAAGGTAGCAACCACGATCAATGTCATAGAAATAAGTAAGAAATATTGTTAGCTTAGGTTTTTTTTTGTATATGTAGACTGCAGTTCAATCAATTACAAATAATGGGATCGAGAAAATATAACAAAAACTGTTACAATTTCCAGCTAAGAAATACAGATAACACAGTAACCATTATTTATATACAAAATATTCAACTGACTTAACATGACAATAGATTATTAACCAAATAACCATTGAATATGTAGGTCAAAAGGCTACCAACAAGTATTCAATTCTACTTGTTGTAACAAAAATATAATTCTTCAATTATATCACAGAGAATTCATTTAAAGACTTAGTCTTTCAATTACTTATTTTGATTATCCAGCAATCTTAGTTTTAATGCTTGTGAGTGATTGTTTTTTTTCTTTCTCTTATTTACTGATGTATCGACTCACTGTTGCTGAGTGACATTTCCCCCCACTATTATGAACAACATAAGTTTCCAAATTAGTAATAGAGTCTACCAACAACAGTTGAGAAAAAAATTACTATTACTTACTATTTGAAAATACTCTTAATAATTCTTCATGTAGTACACGTCTGATACAATCCGATGTTATAGTTGGCAAGGCATTAACACGTGATTCTAAATTATGCAACATATTTGTTTTCATTGAATGATTTGGATCTTGTATATTCGATAAGATTTTATTCATATTTTCAGAAATTTTTGCATAACGACGTGAAAAATCCCCTTGAACAGTTCGTACTGGAATGTTTTTGTTAAAAAAAAAACATACAATCGGTGACCAAGTATGATCAATTAGAGAAAGGAATTTAATAGAGTATCATATATACTACCAAATAATATGAAAAGTAAGTAGTGTTCTTTCAAGCTCATCTATTATTTGGTTATTTTATCTTACACTTGTTGTGTATACAAGTCGGAAGACAGTACTATAATGATTACAAGATAAAAGTTAGACGTATTTACAAGATATAAATAAAATTTTACGTTTTAATGCTTAATGGCGATCTGAACCATGTCATTCAATATCTTAAAACAATGAACGTATTTACCATGAAGATACTAATTAGGTAGTCTTGATCTAATAACATGGTTCCACACATAAGTTAATGAATTCACAGACTGATGTCATATTTTGGTTTAACCATCTCTGGTTTTCTTCCAATCTACTTCTACACTACTAAGCATCGCTCGTCGAGGAAGGCGGTATTTAGGCATACGTAACATAAGTTTCAACCAATTAAGTTGACAAGGATTCACCACCTCATTAATCAATGCTAACGACTTTAAACCACAAAATGCTATTACTGGTCTCTTAAAACCGAGCTATAAACTAACACTACTATTCGAGTTAAACTTTATGAAGAACTATCATCAGAACTGATAGCTTCAAGTGGTGTTCGTCAAGGTAATCCATTTGCCCCTTATTTACAGGCATCCTTCTAGAGATAATACTCACCGTCTGACTTTTCAGGAATCAATATCCCAGGAGACTTACTTGTTGACTTAGAATACGCAGATGATATAGCTCTATCGGGAGAAGACTATGGCAAGATGAAAAATACCACCTTGAGCAACAACGAAAGCATATTCGGAATGCGACTCTTTCCATCTAAATGCAAAATGTTGCATTAGGACTAGTGTATATCAATGCTTGAAATAAGGACAGGAATTGAACTAGTTGAGCGTACTGATCACTTCATTTATCTTGGAAGACTAATCAACACCAGTTGATTAGATTCTGACGAAATCTCGGCACGAATTTAGAAATCTCAGCTGATTTTTGTCAGCTTCAGTCACTTGTGGCGTATGCAAGAGTATTGTCTGTCAACTAAAGGACGAGTATACTGTTCACCAATTAACTCCGTTCCATTTTATGGGTGTGAAAAGTAGTTTTTAAAACACAGGGTGTTATTAGGCTACTAATATTCAATCATACATGTCTCCACACCATTATTTGTATATTTTAGGATCACACAATTGGTGAATCTGAGCTTACATGCGGGGTTCTAAGCAAGAATGAAAAACCAATTGACGAGGTAATGAACTTTTACTGATTGAGACAGTTAGGATACGTACTACGTGTGCCTAATCACCGAATACCTCGATGTGCGACGGCTGGTGAAGAACTGGTTTGGAGAAACTATAGGGGTGGAAACTACTTGATATAGGTCCACACAATCATCGTAGTCACTGGTTGAAAACTTTGAGAGTGACATGGCGCACATTCTATCACAGTAACGCAAATTCATTCCTTCATCGTCTCCCCCACCCCGAGATTCTAATTTTCTAACTATCTTGTGATTTCTCACCTCATGAATTCATATTTTTCTCAATTATATTGTCTATGTCTGGTCATTTATGCTACCACTAATACTGTTACTACTTTTATTACTGTGGTACTTGTTCTGACAATTTCATCTCTTTATGTTAATTGTTTGTGACAACTTGAACTGATACACACAAGTGTCACGTTCAATGTTGTTTATGACTTATTGTGAACAATCTGTACAACTAGTCGGATTTCAATTTCAAACACAACGGGAACAAATCAATCACAGAAAAAAAAAATCGAAAAGTGAAATAGGATGAATAATGTTAACCGATACTTAAAATTTTAGATAGAAATCTCAATTATCTTTACCCAGTGACAACAAATTTAATCCATATCATTTGTAAATATAATTTGTAGAATTTTTTTAATTTTCATCAACATGACATTAGTGGTGGGAGTAGTGAACCAAGAGATGATTAACACTTCGTATTCTTGGAAATGGTTGTACCATGACTTAAAATTGTAAAAACAAAAAAACTGGCCACTTAAGAAAAATTAAAAGTTCCCAGGTGATGCATTGGATTGCTGTAATATACATGTACTGAATAAACAAATACTAAACTAGTATACTTAATACTATCCTATATCACATGTTTGTTCTGTACATTTAATGTTACTATTTATATCAAATTGATCATGCCTATAAACTGGCATGAATTATTATTTTCAGAATATATATATGTTATTATTAAAAAAAAGGAAACGAAGTTATGCTTTTTCTTGATCTGACTACTACTGTAGTGAACAAGAAAACGAGTGGAGACGATCGAATGTATTTGAGCACAAAATTACAATACATCTCACTAAAATCTGAGAACCATATAGTAAATAGTTATTTTGTAAAATATCAATCCATTGCCTCAAATTTGACTGTTCATCATCTAAGATTTCATTGTTCCTGGATTTTCAGACTAATTGCTCTTCGTTCCTCCCCCTTCTTACCCTCTCGATCTCCAACTGAAATACATTCTATGTCTGACCATCGTTATATACTACTCATATGGATATAAGTAGCTCACAGCGCACTATTACTACTACTACTACTACAATAAACCGCACTCCCATTATCATTTTATGAGTTAAACAACCATAGGCATCATCTTAACTATTAAACGAGTTACTAGACATTAATAATATATGGGATAAAGCATTTCAGTATTATTCTTTTAAAATTTGTAAGTGAATAACTATTAAAAGTCAAGTACTCCAATATCTAAGCTCTACTATTCATCTATCTGTTTATTTGTACAGTTTTCATTGAGATGGTGGAAAAGATTTATAGCTCTATCTAAGGTTTGTGCTGGTAGATGTCGTTCAGAAGAAGAAAAGAAAGAAGAAGAAGAAGAAGAAGAAGAAGAAGAAAAAGAAGAAGAAGAGGAAGAAGAATGAAATATCTACGTCCAAATCATCCAGTTCAGAGAACAATACTCCATCAAAATACAATTGTAATATTTATCAATACATTCAGTTACTATTTTTTTTATAATAAAATACCTAATAATGAGAAAATGTGCCATATATAAATATGCATGTTATATTAACACACTAGAAAAACCGATAAACAAATGACCTTTTTTTTTCAAACAGAACATTGTTTCATCTATTTAGGTAAAAAAACAAACAACAAACGAATTTATAAACTATGCGAAATTTTCAACTTAACTAATGTAATCAAGGGTAGTAATTTGATGAAAAAAAGAATTGTTACTAGATAATTTATGGAGCATGATGTTTATGTGTGAGAGAAATAGGCACACACACACACACACACAAATAATCGATATGTTTGATGATGTAATTAAAAATGTTGTGATAATTCTGCTGTATCCGAGTTCTCTAATATTTAGTGAATTATAAATATCTTTAAAACAATGCTGGTGTTTTATGGAATAACCGAGTGACCAATAAAATATAGTTAGAAATGATGTCAAATCAGTCAGTCATATACAATTTAGGAAGTGTTACATATGTCTACCAGTACAACTAGTCATATTCAATTAACATAAAGAGTTGAAGTTTTCAGAGCAAGTACCAGAGTAATAAAGGTAATAACAGTATTAGTGGTGGCATAAACGACCAGACATAGGCAATATAATTGAAAAAAATATGAATTCATGAGGTGACTACGATGATTGTGTGGACATATACCAGACAGTTTGAAGTTAAAGATGCTTACTTACTTACTTACGTCTGTTACTCCCAATGAAGCATAGGCCGCTGACCAGCATTCTCCAACTCACCCTATCCTGGGCCTTCTTTTCTAGTTCCATCCAATTCTTGTTTTTTTTTTCATGTCTATTTCCATTTCTCGGCGTAATGTGTTCTTCGGTCTTCCTCTTTTCTTTTGGTCTTGGGGATTCCACGTGAGGGCTTGTCTTGTGACGCAGTTGGGTGCTTTCCTCAATGTGTGTCCTATCCACTTCCAGCGCTTCTTCCTGATTTCTTCCTCCGCTGGGATCTGGTTTTTTCTCTCCCATAGTAGGTTGTTGCTAATAGTGTCCGGCCAGCGGATGTGAAATATTTTGCGTAGACAACTGTTAATAAACACCTGTATGTTCTGGATGATGGTTTTCGTAGTTCTGGAAGTTTCCGCCCCATACAGTAGGACTGTCTTGACATTCTATTGGAAATTCTGACCTTGGTGTTGGTTGACAGTTCTTTGAGTTCCAGATGCTCCTCAGTTGTAAATATGCTGCTCTTGCTTTGCCGATCCGCGCCTTCACATCTGCGTCAGATCCACCCTGTTCATCAATGATGCTGCCCAAATATGTAAAGGTTTTTACATCTTCCAAATCTTCTCCGTCAATAGTGATTGGATTGGTGCATTCTGTGTTGTTTCGGAGAATGCAGTTAAGTAAAATTATCAATCACTTCATAAACTAATGTCATTTGTTGGTTTTCCAGTATTAGCTTTCTGTCAACCTGCTCCTATATTACCCAACATTGCGCTTCTAGTACTAAAACACTTTCGTCCAAGATGTTAAGTTGTTTCCTTCATGCGCACTGACGAACGACGGCAATCGTGAACGAGCGACCTGAAAATGCCTATTGAAGTGATCAGTGATGAGGTTAAGTCCGCATGAAAAGATCACCACTGTAATTTGGTTTAACAGTCACCGACTAGTATCTCAAACACATGTGAAGACGCTTACGCTGAAGGTTGGCAATATAACTAAGCTGTCTCTGAACCATTGTAGCTAGGTTGAAGGCTTTAAAAATTGGGTAACCATAAAGGAATGCGATGCCTTACTAGGTTTGTGCAACAGACTGAACATGAAAACATACGAACACTAATTATTATACAAATACAATCTCATACTATTAGAATTCTAGGCAACAGTATAACAAAATAAAATAAAAAGACTTACATTGTGAAATTATCTGATTAGATAATTCAATAGATTTAATTTCCCAATGTTCTAAATTCACATTAGATTCGGTCATTGTGACAATGTTGGATGGTTGTGTCGGTGGCATTAGTGATCCTTGGTAATTAATATTGTTTATTTGTTCAATGATATCGAATTGTGTTTGTTCAAGCCGTTCAAGTTTCAATTTTGTTTCATTTAACTGGTCTAAAACAAAAATGTTTCGTAATCAATAAAGAATGGATAATCATGAAGTATTATTAATTACCATTATCATTATGACACAGATATTGAGACAAGATATACAATCTAAATGTAAGGGATTAAACGTTGGTTGTGAATATGTTCGAGGCAGATGAAACACAATTGTAGTAAATCATAAGGTTATTTTCCTTATGAACTGATATATATCAATCAGAGAAAACTAGGTAGTAATGAACAGTTGCTACATACGAATTGGAAGGTCTTCATCAATACACACATAGACACCACTGTTTCTTACTATATTAGTGAGATTATAGGGACTTAAAATATTTCATCACTGTTAGTGTTGAGTGTACATATCGAAATTCTCTTCAGGTTGATATTTTATCCGTTGACTTTAACGCAACTATGTCGTTGATCTTAAACCACATGATTATTGTAATATTCACATCGTTATCGTAAGAATGTATACAGAACAATGGATTAGATTAAATTTTGGTGGAGTTTTGTTCTCTGAGCTGGATGGTTTGGTCGTGGAGCTTTCATCGTTCTTCTGAACGACATCATCAGCACAAACTTCAGATAGAAGTGAAGTGTTCGAATTTCTCCATATGTGTTTCATAGCTTGTTCTGTGCACCTCGATGTTGATTGGTTCTTGTTGACCTTAAACTTATCATTGTTTACTTTTTGTTTTGGTTGTGTCTCCTATTGGTTTGATTTTTGTTCCTATATTTATGCATGATTTTCCTGATTGATTGATAAATTGGATTGATCAATCCAGCTTAGAGAACAAAACTCCACCAAAATCATCCACATGAGCTACAAATCTTCTCCACCATTAGATTAAATAAAATTTAACGAAATTAGTAAGTCATAAAACCATCAAACATACTGATAAAGACAGGCCTATTACTGTTCTGTGTTCACTATTTTTATTTCATTTTTTTTCAAGATTTACTTACTTACGCCTGTTACACCATGAGGAGAAGCATAGGTCGCCAACCAGCATTGTAACAAAAATGGAACATAACGTCACAATGCTCGTACTAAGAAAGTATTAATTATCAACTGTTAAATCCTATAGAATAACGATTATTCTGATGCTGTAAGTAATAGGTGTCATTACCAAGGTTTGATTTGATAATTTCGAATAAATTGAGCATTGGGTTGATTGTTATAAATAAAAATAATATATTTGTAATATCCCAATGAGTAGAAAATCCAATTTTCTACTCATTGGGATATTACAAATATATTATTTAGCTGTAAGTAATGTTAATTTCTTAGTGTAATGATGTTCTTGAATAATACTGCTTATCAAAGACAATAATAATATATCTGAAATGAAGAGATAAGAAAGTGATATAATTTCAGGTCAATTTTTCGGTATTAATTCAGTATGAATTTCGTACAGAGTTATAGGTGCGAACTACTATTTAGTGTAACATTTATATTTCTTGTATCAATTTAGTGTGTTTTGGAAGTAACCCTAAATATTTCTCCGTATATTATGGTATTATCATCAACTAATTTTGGTGATGCATTCTAAACAGACAATAAACTTTATTTATAACAGTCTTTTGTATCCTCACTTCCCGAATACTATATTAACAACAGAGATAACAATATCGATAAGGGTAATTTACAAGGTTTTGCAGCCTTAAAGCTATCTGGTTCGAGTTCGAGAAAGAAAGGTATAAAGCAATTTTAATCCAACGGCTTAGGGCAGAATAAATAGTGTGTACATATACACCATTGTGATCGATTCTAAACCATGTCACCCAGAGTCTCCAACCACTGGTTGTAATAATCGCGCGGACCCCCCAACCAAATAGTGTGCATCTGCATCATTCGCTACATTGCACAATAGAAAACAACAAATTGTAATTGTGATAAAAACAATTCATTTCGAATAAACATACTAAGTATTTTGCAAATAAACAAAAACAAATTTTTTTTTCTCATTTTAAAGAATCTCACCTAAAATGTATTCGAATTGTTTACTTTGTTTTTCTGAATTTATTGATAACATTTCCAAATGATTTAAAATTCTATTCATTTCATTATGAGTTCTTCTGTTATCGTCGTCGTTGGTATTGACTTTGTTGTTGTTGTCATGACTGTCATGTTCAGTAGTTTCATTAACTGTATCTATTCTGTTAATTGTGGCGTTTAAAATATCTTCCTCTTTTGAAATTGACTTCAAATCTTCAAATGATTGGTAGTTGCAACAATCATCATCATCATTATCACCTTCTTCATCGGCATTGTCAACAGCCCTACCTACACCTTCACTTTCCCCCACCACCACACCACCATCATCACATCATCATCATAAACAACGAAATTACAAGTGCTTAATGATGCCGAGGTAATATCCAATGGTGATGAATTTTGTAAATGGGTTTCTTTTGCAGTAGTATTAGTAGCAGTGGTCGACCATAATGTAGTGTCTTTAGTTGGTAACATTGTTAACGAGAGTTGAGATGGTAGTGGAGGCGGCAACAGTTCCAATGGTGGAGACATTGACGATGTTGTTGTCGTTGTTGTTAAAAAGATTAAGTCATTCTCATCTATGTGATTAGTTGTAGTATATGCTTCATTGTTTAAATTATCATTATTACCATTATTATCACGAGTTGGACTACTTGAATTTAATGGGATTTTATTCGTTGTTGTATCTGGTCGAATAGTTAATAATAATTGATTGCGTGAGAACGAAAATTAAATAAATAAATAAATGAACAAATATTAATAACAATGTTTAAATCATTCAATGAAATGTTTTTACATATGATGCATTGTTAGATTTTTATTTAAGAACTAACTTAATCAAGTGTGGAATTATGTCCTCAGCTAATAATACATATAAGCCAGTCACTGCTTGAATAGCTGCTAATTGGTAACGAATGTGAAGCTGAGCGATGTGGGGTCGAATCCTACAAGAACTATCAGTTCACTCAAAATTTCAGGTATGCATTGATGACGAGCAAGGTTTCCTAGTGAATACCCCACCAACCGAATGATATCTCAACGTAGTGTTAAATCACTTAGACAATTTGGGAATAGGATTAGGTCAGTTCTAAAAGACAAGATAAGCATGAAATCGGTCATTAATCAGTGACAATCACTGAACAGTTACAGCATGTTCTTTACTGTACACAAAAACATGAATATTACTTTAATCACAAAGTCAACGTATTTCTGATATATGTGATTGAAAAATAAAAACACACTGACATAAAGAACAAAGTCCATGCAGTTATATTGCTGAAACTTTATTATAGAGACGAACTTATTTGGCGTTCGAGATGAATCAAGAAAACATAAACGAACACAGATGATTTACAAAACTTACGAATTCTGGAAGATAGATCATTCATCAGTTCAAATCACTAGCTGATCTTAGCCAGACCACCATTGAAAATCTGGAAGAACTGGACGGTCGAGTTGGTGGGTGGGCTCTACAGACGAGTTGAAAACTAGGACGAAATGGCTATTCACGTTTTCAATGGTATGTTGATTTGAACTGGAAGACATCATACTGATTTTGACTGGCATAGTCCTATAGTGTAGTTACATCCTGGAGTGGATAAAGTGTACTCCAAACTTGGAAAGATTTAGCGCTGTAAACGATATATAGGTACAGAAAAAATTTAATAAATATCCATTCACCTGACAGTAATTTGTCCACAGAATCGGGCGCATTGTCTTCAAAATCGATCTCCCCATTATCGTCATCATCATTACCGTTATCACCAACTGCAACACCGCTCCTATAATGCTGTTGATGAGTTGTCGTGGTATTTTCAATCGGAAGCGTATAGTTATCACCCGTACTGCATAAAGACGGTACACAATTCATAGGTGGGAAGTCAGAAATCTCAGTTTTATCAGCAGTTTTCGAAATAGATTCAAAAACGCTGTTGTAAGAAAAACAGTGAAACACTAAATAATTTATATTGTTGATCATATAGATCGGTCAGTCAGTCATAATCAACATAGAGACAGACAAAAATGTCCACGTTATAACCGGAAAAAGTGGTTGAGGAAATCTGGGAACATGACTCAAAATCGTACACAAGGACGCAAATTTACTCACAGTTTATTTTACTCTCGATCTTAAGTCCTAGTATTCCGTTACATATATATACCTTTTCGAACTAACTTTTCGAGTCATATTCCCAAAGTTAAGTTTTTCTCATTATCATTTCTACAACACTATTTCGACTCCATTATTCGTTTTGTTTTGCTAATACAGTATGGCAATTTGGGCTAAAGCATATTTGTACGACGCACTACGATGACTAACTGACTAGGACAAATGTGTATTATCTCAAGTTGATTTAACGCACATCAGTACGATAAGATAAAATTAAAAAGATGAATTATGAAGGAGTCGAAATAACGTGGTATCAGTGATATTTAAGAAGACGAGATGATAGAGAATCTGATTTGAGAAAGTAGAATGACAAGGTATATGTGGATATTAATTGTCGCCATTTACATGAATTCATTTAAAATGAAAGTCGAAAGGGGTCTTCATATGATCAACAAATTTTGCATTATATCAACTTATAAATGTGTTGTACGTACGTTCCCCGTCAAACAATTGTACTTCACATTTGCTATAGGTACGATATTAAAAATCTACTTACCATTTCAGAATCATTTCATACATTGAATTCTATGAAACATATGCCATGCTATTATATTAGGCCCTAGCAATAGTATATATAAATTTAACACTCCTAGCTAGCTATATATAATTGCTGGTTATTTACAATTGACTTAGAAAAAAGGTAACAGTAGGATTTACTTATTTGCTATTAAGTGTTTTATGTGAAAAACAATCGTTCTAGTTGTATTATCGCTTCACTTTAGATGTTGGTCAGCTCCTCTCCCCTTCATTGAAAGTTTCTGCTCAAAATAGATGCCAATGATCAAGATTCAACTGAGTTTGTTACAGTGTATGGATAATTCAACGAGACAATCTAAGAAAAGTATAGAAGTAGGGATTGGTGAAAAGATTCATAAAAAAAAATAAAGTAGAATATAAAACTTACAGTTCTTCAGTCGATTGATTATTCCTGTTTAACAATGTTACCGAAAGAACATTTTGAAGTTTTTCCGCTTCCGGTGGTTCATGTTGACTTGGAGAAATTGTTTCCATATTATGATTGAAACTGGAATTATCTTCAATTTCAGTTTTAATAGATAAATGGGAATTAGAATTATTAAGATTTGTTAATTTCTCCATCACCAATTGATTTTCCAAAGTGTTAGGCATCAAAGAATCATGACTAGAAAAGTAGGTTTACATATAAATGAACTGATCATTGTGGTAAATGAAAAATAGGATTTGTAAATTTGAAAGTGATATACTTTGTATATAAATATATATACTTGTTATGTCCCGACAAGAATAATGAATGGTAATCTTGGGATCCATTTGTGGACCAATACTATACGTGTATTATGATTGCATACTTGTTAAGTAACTAAACTATTCATATTCATGTCGCTCTTATTTTGAGCTTTATTTTGACCTATGAACTATTATTCTACGATTTACCATTCTTGAGTTATACCCCGTCTATCAATTACTACCTCCCTCACCCACAGCCACATCTGGTTAATTCTTGTACAAAGGTTGTTCCATATTTAATGCTACGTTGCGGTCTGTTTGATTGGTATATGAACTCAGTATGTTTGAAATATAATGATTCATATCGCATAGGCTGAGATTGGTGTTTTGGTCTTAACTGGCTGGGTTAGGCGGAAAGCAGGATCAATCAGGACTCTAGGCTGGTCGCACGTGTTTTACGCGTCCTTGGTCCGATCGATAATTCACTGCTCTCTCTCTAATCGGCGGTCACAAGTTATAACAATACTAAGGTATATTACTACACTTGATGTAATTGTAAAAGACTAATCAGTAAAATTAATTTAAATGTAGTTCTGATTTCTGGTACCTAATGAGTCCTGTAGTTGAATATTTAGATATTGACTTTTCAGTTCACAGAAAATCTTTCATTCTTGGAAATCAAACGAAAATCAGGGTACAAGAAACACAAAAGTTTGATTATTAAGGTTAGATTATGTATAGTAATCAAGACACTTTATAGGATAATAGATGAATTGAAGATTGTAGAAGTTTTAAGAAAAGATACACAAATGTGGAAAATTCCAGATAATGAATTATTCAGGGATAAAGAAAGAACAACCACTCCGTCCCTTGATTTTACCTATAAGTTTTCAATGAGTCGTGATTGAATTCAGTATTTTCTGGAGGTTGTACATACATATTTAAACAAACAAAACTGCGGAATGACGACTGAATTCGATTCAAATCCCGTAGTGTTAGAGGTAATAAGAGTATAAGCAGTAATCGAAAAGATTAGGGTTTAGAGATGTTATTTAAAGAGTATAATCCAGTGAAATAAATTTGGGAAGAGAAAAACGAAATAAGGAAGAATCAGGAGATTAAAATTTGGGAGAACACAAAGAGTGGATGCACCTGCGCCATTGCAAACGATTTTGAGCCATGTCATTCAGGGTATCTAACCATCGGTTGCTATCATCTCGCCGTCCTCAACCAGGTAGTCTACACCTACCAACATGACTCAGTCTATTTGTCAGTGACTTCATGAACTTGTGCCATGATTTGGTCTGGCCGCCCCTAGCTTTCTTCCAACCTACTCCTATACCACTGAACATCGCACGTCGAGGCAGTCGGTCGTTGGGCATATGCAACACGTGTCCCAGCCATCTCAACCGATGAAGTCTCACCACCTCATCAATCGATTTGCCATCCTTACCTAGTACCCGTTTCCTAACAACTGCCCTGGCGCCCAAGCCAAAGCAGGTGGTTTTCTAAGGGCCCACCCCTCGAGCGTTTTACCTAGATGTCTAATCTACAAGGCAGTGGAGAAACGTTAGGAGAGGCAGTCCCATGGTAGCCAGTGACCAACAATAGGTTCATACGCCATTTGTTCTTTTAGGATCCTGGAGCAAACTACTTGCTTGTTCCGCCTCTAGAGGTTATGGAATTAAGTCAAATTGCAAAAAAAATACATTTGACCGACAAATATCGTAAACTTATTATTCTGTGTTAAACCAGCCAGTCACTGAATACTAAACAATGTCATATATGAATACGGTTCAGTACTGACTAAATCATATCAGCCACTACATTTCCAGTCATTTTTACACTGTGTTACTGAAGGCTCATCAAACAATTCATTTTCAATATTTGGAAATATCCACAGCTGTTTGTAGTGAACATATCTAGTGCATGCAGTGCAGCCCAAAATGCCAGATGAAAACATATAGTGAGATCTTATAGCGAAATGATTAATTGAATCGAGAGCTAAGTAGCAACATTTCCAAATGATGGAACATTGACGAGGAGGTTCGAATATACAGTAACAATCGCCACAAGGTTGCAGATATGATAAATATAGTAGCTGGTGCTGTACATCAACATTTGAAATATACACTAATAACGGAGTAATAGTACTAAGTATGCAGTCAGTTCTAAATAACTAATGGCATAGGGCAAAACACATATAAATTATATAATGATTATTTCACTTACCCTAATTGTTTGCTAGTGAGTATTTCAGAGGAATCACGCTCATCAAAAAACTTGAAAACAGTAAATAGAAAAATGAGTTCTTAATGATTAAAAATAAATGTTCAAAACTATGCGATAAAATGAAAGAAAATATTCAACGCGACCTCCAACTGTCAGTAGATATTCTTACAAAATCGGTGAGGTAAATATAATATGAAACGGGTAGCTATATTTTAGAACTAGTTAGTTTATCTATATAATAATGGTTGTAAACTCTGTGTTACTAGTCCAATATTTATTGCTGTATCGACTGCCGTTCATACATCATAATTCGATTAACTGTGAATATGTTACTAAACACCGTAGAAGAAAATGTCCCAGATATGTTAATCACTGTTTTGTGATCTTCCATTTAAGTATATGATCACGTAAGGCCTAGAGGCCTGAAAATTCTATATTCATTCAAGCCTGAATCATTAGTACTCATAGTTAGCGATTCATATCCATAGGACGAAATAATCATCCCGTGTTTCTGGTATCCTATATTTTATTAGACCAATTCACGTTGTGAACTACCGACATACATAGATTCACCCCAAAAATAGTATCCATGTCGTGTATGTAATGTGATTACAATAAGTGATATGTTTATCATATTTGATTTTGTTTCCACATATTTATTGGACCGTACAGTTATACGATTTATTATTGTAGAAATTGTCACATTTAGACAAATATACTACCTTTCTGATTTCAAGATCTTCAGTATGAACACATCTATAAATCAGAAAACAAAAACATTTCCACCA